AAGGAGAAGTCATTGAAATTTTTCATAGATGTTTTGATTTCATGTGGTACTTTTATGGACAGAGACGCAGAGAGGAATTCAAAAAGGCTCTAGAGGTAGCCTGTCAATAGGCCTCTCAAGTTCTTTCCTGGAATAAAAATAAAACCCGAGCAAGAATTGTGTTTCCAAAGCCTCGTAGTTAAAAGGAAAGATGTTCTCGAAGTATGGAAAAGCCTCATATACCAGCATCTGCCGAAACTGTGTCCGAGTATTGCTTTCACAAGACCGGGACAAAGAAGACAAAATCAGTGCCTCAGATATCTAAGTTCTGATTTAAGAAGATATAACGAAGAGACAAAATTCTCTGTCAGAGAGAATTTTGTCTCTTCGTTATATCTTCTTATTCAAAGCTCTACACTTAAATAGTGTATTGAGCACTGTTTAACGGCTTTAGCCGCTTTATTACACGTAAGTTCTGATTTACAACATCCTGCCGTTAAAAGGGTATTCTTACTGCAAATAAAATTAGAGCGAGGTAGCCATGTATTGAGAATAGCCGATAGCACCAAGGCTTTAGCTTGACTTTGCTTGTGCCTATTTCGATAGCGTACGTGATTAGAATTCGTTCGCTTCCTCTTCCAAATTTTTTTTTTCACTTTTGAAATGTTTTAACCTCGAGCGGGCGTCGTGATATTTCGCTTTCCCTCGGACGATTCTCGGCCTGGTCTACCTCAGCTTTTTAGTTGCCAGACTCTCAGGAACCTGCTTATTAATGAGTGCCTGTTGTAACTCTGCAAACAAAAGCAATTTACAATTTTCCGGGCGCATGTTTATTTACAAACAGAGCGTTGGCGAACTTACATTAGTACAATTCCTAAAACATGTTATAATTCCTCAAAAACGGCACGTTTTCCACTGCAAGTATTCGAAAACTCCTCATTGGAGGTTTCAGAAAAAAGCGAAATCGTAGCAAAACAGGCACCGGAGCTCGGCCAGACCGAAGGTGAGATTTATTTCAGGCAAGCTTTTTGACACGTGAAGCTGACAACCCAATGACTGAAATGATTTTGATTGGATGGTATCGAGTCATGTTGTGTGGGGGTGAAAGGCTCCAGTGAAAGCATCTGTGTCAGGCGTTTCTCTCCTTCAGCTGTCTCCCTTTTTCGCTTCCATCTTTCCCTTTTTCCCCCCAGAAACGCCTGATACTCAGGCTATGCATGAAAAAAATTGGATTTTTGATGTCTTTCAGTGCGCTTATTATATATCTTCTTCTGGTTTTACAATTACAATTTTTTAAACTGATGCAATATTTCCCCTGCTCAAACTTTTCGAAAGACCCAACTCGAACTCGAGGTAGAAGCACTTTTTCCCTGTAACACCTGTGAACATGATGTGTAGAGGTAGTGAAAAATATTTTGTACTGATGTTATATCGTTTGTTTTCTGCAGAACTTGACAAAGCAAGGGAAGGTAATGTAAATTTAATTTATTGCTGACAGGTATATTTTGAAGGGTGGTTACTGCTGGGGTTTCCTGTTTTTCAACCTCTCCTGTTGGAGTTAGTTTAATCTTTCGGCGGTTTTATTGAGCTGCTAGAATGCCAGGGATATCTTTGTACTTAGCATATTCAATCACATGATCGATCGTTCTGACGGCATCAAAAATTGTTCCCCCCTTGACAAACGTGTTTTTATTAAAATGACTTCAGGAAGCACCTTTTCCAAACGCTTTGCCAAAGTTTTAGACGCCAATTTAGCATCAACATTTCTAAGAGATATTGGACGCCAATTCTTCACCAACGTTTTGTCTTTTCCTTTCTTTTCAATTCAGGTGATAACAGCCTGTTTCTGTGAGTTTGATAGTCCCCACGGTTTTTCCGTGTTCGAAAGCATAGTTCAGACTATCAACTACCAACTTTTGAAACAAGGGCCAAAAGGCTAAGAAAAACTCGACTTTTTTGGAAGGTCTGCAATACATTGTAGCATTCATCATACCCAAGGATACCCTCGCGAACGTTCCGCTTCTCCGCTAAATATCAAAAATCGGTGAGATCATTTATAAACGAGGAAATAGCCTGCGTGTCTGCACAAGTTTTTACCATCATAGAGATTAGAATAATATAATTCCAATTCATTCTTAATCTTTTTTGGGTCGCTAGTTAATACTCCATCCCTTGTTAAGATTTTGCGCGCACTGCTTTTCGTTTTATTTGAATTTTCTAAATGCGAAAAATATTTGTTGTTTTTTTTTTATCCATTTTATACCAAGTTACCCTAGAACAAATGATTGCCCCTTGTGTAATGTAATCGTGCAATTGATCATATTCTGTTTGAAGACACTCCAGTTTCTCGAGATTTCCACCATTGGGATCGATATCACATTTTTCTGTATATTCCTTCAGCTTATATCGTTCGCCTTTTGTAGTTTTGCTCTTCTTTCACGGGCTTTACCTTTCCTGTATCTGATTGTTCGCTGTCTTATCATATTTTGTATTTAATTAAATCCCATAAAACACGCTTATCCCAAACCTTTTTAAATTCCTCTAACCAATTGACAAGTTTGATTCTAACCAATCCGCTACAACGATGCATTAAGCGCGCGAAAACTGGATTTGCAGAGGAGTCTTGTAATTCTATCACGCATTTTGGTTATAAGTAGACAGGAGGGTACATTTGTTGAGTTCCATTTTATACGGCCATTGAGATGAATAACGAATCTCTTATTGGAAGTTTGGTTTGTAGAATCGTGGGAAAGTATAACTGATCGTCTCTTGTATTTTGATTCGCCCTATGGGCTCGCCAAAATACATTGTAACTCGTAAAAATATCCTTATACTACACATTAAACCGCCCAGTAAGAAAAATATGCTGGGACGAATATGAGGGTTACTCGGGGGTCTCGGCCGAACACGTTATATAAAGTTTCTGAATCGCCTCCACGCATGCGCAGTGTAGTACGCATTACATACTATAAGGATCTCATGTTAGAGTAAAATAGTCACATCATTTTATTACATTTCAAATCACAAGTTTACATTCAAGGTTTACAGAGTTTTAAGATATCTTTGGCAATGGGCACACAACAAATCAAAGTCTCCGATGGTATTATTGTAAATGATAGTCTTCTCTGTTTCTCTCTTCTTGGTTCGAATACGTTGTTTCAGGTCTTCAATCTGTTTCTCTCTAATCTGTAAAAGAGTTCGTATCATTGCCTAGACATGTTCAATTTCCTAAGGACTTTATCTTTTCTGTCGCATACGTGTCATAGTAAGAAATAGCTTTTTCACAAACAGCGTCATATACTTGTTTGTTCCATTCAAACAAGAACGAGTTTAACGTTTCAAAGTTCAGATCGTGATTGGAGATGTCTTCTACAATGAGGACATGCATAAACTCTTGATACCCTGGAACCTTGGAAGTGTCTATCACTTGTAGTAGTTGGTCCATCTCATTGTTACTATGGTCCATCGGGAATGAAGGCTTGTTGCTTCACACAAATACCATTTTTCATACACTATCAAGCGTTTTCTTGAATTCACAGGAGCTGTAACAAAAGGATACTTGTAGTTTATCAACCTATTACATAAATAATGTTTAGTTTAATAATGTTCCCATCGTTTCCTGTTCCGTAACCTGGTCACCATGGCTGTTCTCGCCTTCCGTTTATTAGATGATTTGTGTGTTGAATCAGGCGGGGTATCCAACAACAAAGGGAGTGCCATTTCCTCAGGTGAAATAGAAGGCATCGTTTCTATTCGGCGAGGAATTTTCGATTCCACTGTAGTCACAGGTGTCGCGGGTAGTTTTCTTGGCATTTTTGTAGACTTTGATTGAGATGTATTGAGGTCTCTTTTCCTGGACGCCTCTGCAGGTGTACTTTCATCTGTTTTGCCGGATGTCTCTGTAGCAGGCAAAGGATCTGGTTTGAGAAGGACCACAGTCGGTTTTATCGCCGACTCCATTTTCATTTGTTTTGTCAGTCCTTGATACCGCTGTAGAAGTTGATCCAACATGAGGACTTTTTGGTCTTCTGGTAAAGGAGACTCTATGATTTGCTTCATGTCTTGATCTAATCTCGTCAGCGTTGGAAGTTGAACAGGAGCAGTTAAACGCCGTTCTGTCTTCATGCTCTGTAATAAATGTTCCGGTATAATCACCATCTTTTGAGCGTGCTTCATTTGAACACTTAAGAGCAGCAAGGGCTGGTAAAAATCCTCCTTTTTGATTGAGCACTTCCTTCTTCTGTTTAAGGCTCGGTTTCTTGCGGGTCAAATAGAGCAGCTTTGACTTGTGCGGTTTCAATCGTTTAAATGACGAACTCGGTACTATGATGTTGCCTTTAAGAAGATTCAGGGCCACTTCCCCAATAGCTTCCATCTGCCCTCTGTTAGCATGGGCTATCATATCTTTTCGTTGCTTTCCATTGCTTTTAAAACACGCACAAAGAAAGGGTAGGTGTTGTTGGAATTTGGATTGTTTGGCAATACTTGACCGCTTTCGTTTTGTCCCTCTAGTCTGAGTCGTAGTGCCAGAACATAGGACCATATTGCCGCCGCGTTGATTAACAACTCTTGACTTCACTGTGCCACCTGACTTACACGAAGGCATGGTGCTAACTGACGTCGACAGTTAGAGGCCCGTCTGTTTTATGGGTTTTCTTGTTGACCTAGACCACAGGCAAAGATTGTGAGACAGGCAGTATGTTGCTACGTAATCGTAGGATAGCCGGCGTTCGCGGATGTAAATCCAACATGAGATAACCATACGACTGCGAGGTGGCGTCTTGAAAACTTTCCCATACGTAAGGAACGTGCCCTGCAAAAGCTTGTTGAGCCAAGGTTCGGAAAGCCAATGTATCACGAGGATTATTAAAGGCAATGATGTAATGAGCATTGAGAGAAATACTTCTTGAAAATTTTCCCGGTGGGAAAAGGTTGTGTCAAGTAGATACAGGTGACATCACAATGATGAGACACTTTTGTGAACAGGTCCAGAATACGTTCGTCCTCGCTACAATTCCTCATTAAATCATCCAACACGAGTATACCTGGACGACAACCCATTGGAAATAAAGCCGGAATATCTTCAGAAATACCCTCTACAAACGTAATCTGTGACGCCATGTCCTGAAAGCATTCTTGCCACTGCCCATAACAGTACATAATTTTACGAATAGGTCTTTCAAACAAAACGTCTGCATACTGAAGTAATAGTTTTGTGAACGTCGTCTTTCCACATTGACTCGGCCCTGCGATCATTACACTGCTCGGGCATTTGAACTGAGCCATGCTGCCCACACAGAACGAAAAACCAGCTGATGCCAAAGTTACTGGTGCCTTTCTCTTTATAGGAGTGTATCTCAAGTCCAATACAAAATAAACACATCATGTTCATCATTGCTTACGCCAACATTTGAATGACTTACAAGTTTGTTCACTCTGAAAGAATGGTGACCTCTGCCTAACACTTGTCAACGATTTTACATAGCTGTGAACAAATGTGGCTACTTGTGCATCATTCCACTGTGTATCGTGCGACCTAANAGGTGACATCACAATGATGAGACACTTTTGTGAACAGGTCCAGAATACGTTCGTCCTCGCTACAATTCCTCATTAAATCATCCAACACGAGTATACCTGGACGACAACCCATTGGAAATAAAGCCGGAATATCTTCAGAAATACCCTCTACAAACGTAATCTGTGACGCCATGTCCTGAAAGCATTCTTGCCACTGCCCATAACAGTACATAATTTTACGAATAGGTCTTTCAAACAAAACGTCTGCATACTGAAGTAATAGTTTTGTGAACGTCGTCTTTCCACATTGACTCGGCCCTGCGATCATTACACTGCTCGGGCATTTGAACTGAGCCATGCTGCCCACACAGAACGAAAAACCAGCTGATGCCAAAGTTACTGGTGCCTTTCTCTTTATAGGAGTGTATCTCAAGTCCAATACAAAATAAACACATCATGTTCATCATTGCTTACGCCAACATTTGAATGACTTACAAGTTTGTTCACTCTGAAAGAATGGTGACCTCTGCCTAACACTTGTCAACGATTTTACATAGCTGTGAACAAATGTGGCTACTTGTGCATCATTCCACTGTGTATCGTGCGACCTAAATTTAGCTTGAGTAGCGTCCATATCAACGTTGCGTGCTCGATGGAATAAATAAAATAAACAGTAGTCTCCACAAGTGTCTGAAGTAAGTCCCTGGAACGGTTTGTTGTTGTAACGCGTAACATCTCGCTCTATGTATCTATCCATGCCATAGGTATCGGAAGGAAACCCGTAACTGTCAAAGAATTCACTTTCCCACGGAGAAATAAAGTACATGGCCACCCAATGTGTCCCGGGCTGATCATGAGGGTCCGTATCTGCGATCAGTCCCGAAGGATACTTGTTAACAATAGGTCACTTGTCTCTTGGGACGACACCTTGCATAAAGGGAGCTAAAATGGGGTCTTGTAGTGCCGCTTGCCATAGCTCAAAGGTGGTATGCATCGTTCTGTCTTTAAGCACCCTGTGACAGGTCGTACACCACACGTCTGTTACGATCAATTTCCAACTGATTCTGGAATTCTGCGTACACAATTAAATTGAGAACTGCAGGGGTCTCAGTGCCAAATTTTAAATACAAGTTGACATTTCTGCTGCGATTAGGAATCAAATGATCTGGATGGCCACTTCCTGCTGGTGTTGTGTCCAAGCGAAATAAACCATAACCCTGCTCCCATTCTTCTCTGTCAATGTGTATACCATGACCACAGTTCATATCACCACTGCCTGAGAAAAGTGTATTGTAGCCATCGATTTTCTTGCCACCTATCAAGTCGATGCCTGAGTAAGGCATTTCTTCTCCATTGACTGTTAGACGAACAGCATTCAGATCAAACAGTTGGAAGTTGAATGGGTTCCTACCCAAGTTTCCATTGTAAGCATCGTTTCGCACCATTCCAAATAATTTATGATGTGGGGGATGAGACCATTGAATAGATCGGTCTCTGTGTGATTTAATACTCCTCTGGGAATGATCCTAGCATGCGTAGGGGTTCTTGTTAGTGTATAGATTGTAGGAAGTGCCTTCTGACCCGTTATGGTTTTTACGTGATCCAATTTAGTGCTGTCTGCCACATGAACAGTACGTACACGGAGCGTGCTTGACACTATTTGTAACTTGCAATCGTTGGCATCTTCACCACCCATCAGACTAAATTCACTGCTGTTAAGATCTATCTTGATTTTGATTTCCAATCCATCCAACAGTAACTTGTCAAGGTTGACTACATCACACAGGGGTACACCAACCATTCCAACTTCAGCATCTCCAGTGGTAAAAGAACCTCTCTTTTTTAGACCCAAATTTCGATCTGCTGTATCATCCACCTCATCCATATGCCCAGCAGTGTCTTTGTAGTACAACGCTTTTGTCAAGTAAGATTTCTTGGCCTGATCAGTAAAGTTAAGCAAGGTCTTGATATAAGCATTGTAGGCTTGTGTGTCTGATTGTTCTGTGACAAGGGTTTCATTGATCTTGATAGTGAACTGTTTGATGATAGAATGAAGAGCGTTGTTGATCAACGTATATT